AAAAAAAAAAACTCTCACCCTGCTTCATTTTACAGATGGGGAAATGGGACAGAGAAGTTAAGTGATTTGTCCAAGCCACACAGCTATTGGGTAGTGCCTCCAGGACTGGTTCTCAGGCACTCTGGCTTCGAATCTGTCAAAAGACAGACAGAGCACTTGTTTGTAAGAGTTTGTAGAGAAAATTAGATGTACACTGAGCAAAACAGCCATGCTTTGTGGCCGTGTCTGCACCTGGAGGAGTGAGCGGAGTGTGTGGGGTGTTGGGACTGGACTTGGAATCAACAAGGGGGCAGCGAGAGGCACCCTGGGATCTTCAAGAGAAGCTCTGGCCCAGGTGCTAGCGATGCTCACCACACTGTAGAGCACATTTGGTGTCAGGATTGTTGCTTCTGTCTCAGAATCGCTGTCAGAGGAGCCAAATCCAAGGCCAACACATCTAGAACCCCAGACGGACACCCTTCCCGCTCTGCCCAGGCGCTGTGGCATTCACTCTCCTCATGTAGACAAGACACACTGGTGCCGAGGTCAGCCTCTTGCCTCAGATGTTTGGGGCTCGTTCCCAGGACTCCAACCCCAGGGAGCCCCTCCTCAAGAGCAGCTCCTACATCTGATTGAAGCAGGGTTGAGAATTGAGCAACCTGTGGCCAGAGAGGATGGTCTAATGAGTCTGGGCACATTTCTTGTTGCTCAGTAACAACTACAACAAATGTGGAGGTCTAAGTAATGCATTGCTTCTCTCACAGTTCGGAGGCCAGAAGTCCAAATTCAGGTTCACTGGGCTGAGATCCAGGAACTGTCTCAGCTGCACTCCATCAAGAGGCTTCAAGGAAAACCTCTCCCTTGGCCTGTTCTACTGCGTCTCCAGTAGATGTTCTGCGTTTATTGGCTTGTAGCTCCTTCCTCCATCATCAAAGCCATATAACATTGCCATGTTCCAATTCTAGACTCCCTCTGCCTCCATCTTCTGGCGCTTAGAACACTTAGGGTATACTTTGGTAATCCAAGACTGTCTTCCATCTCAAGTTCCTCGATGTAGTCACAGACACAAAGTCCCTTTTGGTTTGCAAAGGGACATCCCCAGCTTCCAGGGATTCAGACCTGTTGTCTTTGGAAGTTGTTGACCAGCCCACGATAGATACAGTCACACCAACACAATGTCATGGCCCCGAGGGCCCACACCCCCATGCAGCCATGCCACACAGGAAACCAGCCCTACACTTGAGGCCTGGGTGGGGAGGTCACACACACCAGGCATGGGCAAACCTCCCCCCATCAGCCTGCTTGGGCCAGATGTGGGAAGCTGCAGAGCTCATCCTATCCCAGTTCCTCTGCATGCCCAGGTAACAGCCTTTCTTTCCCAATACTCTGCACACAATTCCTCCTTTACTCTGGTGCTTTTGTTCCCTGGAACCTTTTCCTTGCATTGGCTGCAGAATCTTGATTCTGGGGCAGCCAAGCTGGATACCACGCCCCACTGGAAGAGTGTTAATGCAAAGGGAATAACAGTAGTAGAAAGCCAAAGGTCACAAGCTCTATATTTAAAGGTAAGGGTGTGCAGGTTCCACAGAACCTGAGCTTGACCTTGGTGACTGAACTGAAGCTCAGTGCCAGCTGAGCTGGAATGGATGGGGCTGAACAACTCTACTACCAGGACTTGGCCAAGTCAGCCTGGGAAAGGTCACCTCCCTGATCCTGCCCCTTCCTCTGAGTGCCAAACCCAAGGACTGAGCCTCCATGGATGAGGCAGGGGCCTCCTGCTCCAGGTGAGTACAGCTCCCTCGGTGGTCACCACCAGTGGGCAGCATCCGTTCTGGGGGCCGCTGGTCCCACTCATTCCCTGTGGCTTTATACCCCCTTTCCTAAGCCTCACCTGTACCCCACAGGGCGTTACTGGGTCTGTTCCTAGAAGCACACCAAAGTGGGCAGTAGGCCTGTTGTAGAAAGTTCACAACTAGCCTGGGCTATCTGCTCCCTGCTGAGGAGCTGTGGTGGCTCCCAGGAGAGAGAGAGGGAGGGGGGGAGAGAGAGGGAGACAGACAGACAGACAGACAGGTAGACAAAGGCAAAAGCAGGGCCTCGGGAAGACCTCATCTGGAGCTTACCAGTCCTAGCCAGGTAACAGGGCGGAGGAGGACAGGAGGCAATGGTCAGTAAAAGCAGTGAAGGGTTCAAGCCTTGGAACACGCGATACTCCCCCAAAAAACAAGCGGGCATCACCCCATCCCAGTGGCTTTCTAAGACCTTACCCTAGCCGGGCGCTGGTGGCTCACGCCTGTAATCCTAGCTACTCAGGAGGCTGAGATCTGAGGATCACGGTTCAAAGCCAGCCCGGGCAGGAGACCATGAGACTCCTATCTCCAATAAACCACCAGAAAACCGGAAGTGGCGCT